TTTTTTTTTTTTTTTTTTTTTTTTTAATTTCAGTTAGTTTTAAAAAACAAATAATTTTGTTCTTTGAGACTGCATATATTTAGTTCACCTCCTCCTCTATAGATGTCAGTAGATATGATTCGCAAACTGTAATCCTTTTACTTAAAGAAAAAAACAAAAACCTAAATAACCTATGATGATCGAATTTGACATAAATCCTTAAAAAATCCATAAAACTTTGAATAATTTAAAATAGTTGCGTAAATTAATATTTACCTTCATAAATTAATTTCATGACAACATATCATTATTTATACTTGCAAAACACAATCATTTAGACAGTAAAACTATATTTTTCACGTAAAAACTTATTTCATATGAATACATGGTCAAATTGAAAAACTAGCAACATACTTTTTGGACTTTTGGATATGTTCATTATATCATGTTATTTTCATTTCTTATGACCGTAACATTGATTTTAAAAGAATTTGAACACAAACAATTTTTATTGTTATAATAGAATGCAAACACAAACTGTTTTCATTGTTATAATTTAATAAAATTTCAAACTATAATTTCTTAATAAACAAAATTAAAAATACAATTTTATAATTAAATAAATTTCAAAATATAATAACTTAATATAAGATGCAAATTGTTTTTGAATTAGCCACGGCCATATTGTATAAATAGCATCTCTTCTGGTCCCAAGAACAATCACTACCTTCCTTGCTTCATCAAACATCCAACCCCCGAGTGAAGAATTAATCAGCCCATCATTTTGGAACCAAAAGTCAAAAAATTCGTTATTGTCAAACCCTCAATCGCCACCTGCTATAAATTATTTTGAAATTTAAATTTACAAACAGGTTACTCAATCCGTCAATCGTCGTTTGATTTTGCACCACCATCGACGGCGGAAAGGATGGCGTGTTTGGGGATTCGTCACAGCGTAGTTGGAGATTGCATGATCCGGAAGCGTGGTGGTGGTTATACAGATGAACGATCGAATCGTCTTTCCGGATTCACACAGCTCTCAATCCCCAATCTCGCCGTTAAACTTCCTAATCATAGAGTCTCTACAGCGGTTTACGCTACGTTAGCGTGTGATTCCGGTCATCGGTCGACTTTGTCTTTATTTGATGACAGTTTAGATTTACGAACAGAACCATTTGGTGGTAGTGATGATAATGAGGATCACGATCGTACATGTATTGAGAGCCCTAGGGTTTCGGAGAAGCTCGATGAATGGATGCGGATTTCGGTAACGGAAATCGTTAAGAACATAAAACAAGCGCCGTTGCTGGTTCAGATCCTACGCCGATGGCGAGGTGGAGATGAAGAAATCGCCGGCGGCGAAGGACTGGCGGAATGTAGTTAAACACAGATCGTCGTCACTTGAGGGAGTTATACTGGTGGAGGAGCTCAATGAGAACACTGATCCGGTGGATTCCGACGTAAAGTTCGAGGAAGAAGACGGAACTAGGGCTTTTGGTGTGCTGATTCAAGGAAAAATTAAAGGTTTAGATCAATGTAAGTCTACGTGTTACTTGTTGAAGACAAGCAGCGTTAATGGCGGAGGAATGGGGCATTTTTGCACCCATTTTTGCTTGATGAAGGTTCAGAGCTTCCATGAAAATGCTTTTTCGCAGTTCAATAATTGCTGGTTATTGAGGTGAAATTGAATTAATTTGGAAGGTTGTAAAGGGTAAATAATTCGTTGTAATATTGTTTGAGTAATTATAAATTGAGAATTGATGGAATTAATGTGTAAATGATTCATTGGAATTGTTGTTGATCCAACATCCTAAGGTTAAATTTTCCCTAACTTTCAAAAAATGGCCAAAAGATGGAAAAAATAAATAAATAAATACCCGGCAATTTTAGCACTTGATCGCTTGCTTTTGGAGTATGTTTTTGTGTTTGACTTTTAATTTTCAAAATTCTTTCATACAAATACAAATTTTGTTTGATATAATTTTTTTAAATTGTTTTCTTTAGGGAGGAGGGAGTCATTCCCTCACAACTCACTATCACATCACTTTTTCTTTTTTCTTTGGGTAAATTACATCAATCGACCCTTGTGCACATGTCAAAAAACGTGTTTAGTCCCTATTTTCAAAAATTAACTCGGACAGTCCCTGGTTTAGTTAAAAGTTGCACATGACATCCCTCGTTAGTTTTTATTTGCACGTTTAATCCCGTACAAACATGAAATGACTATTCTACCCTTTTTATTCCTTTTTACATTTATTTTATTTTTCTTACAATTATTTATAATATACAAAACAAAATAGAAAACCCCACCCACCCCCACCCGCCTTATACTACCTTCCCTTCTAAACCATCTTTCTACCCTAAATTCTTTGATAAAATCCCCACCGCCGGACCATCACCACTGCCCACAACCATCAGCCACCACCTATTTTTACCCGAATTAGCCTTCATCAATAAAAAAAAAATTACACAACCACCGGCATCACTAAAGCCATCTCACCTGGAATTCATTACCACCATAATCACCTTTATATCCATCCACTAACAACCACCATCAACACTATACATAACCCACTGCCAACCACCACCTTAATCATCACACCCCCACCAGGCCAACACCTTATGCAAATTAGTGATCACACAAAGAATTAAAAAAAGAAATTAAAACTCCCCTGTTCGTCGATTTCATACACCCCAACCTCCAATTCGTTGTCTTCTTCACCTCACTAGAAAAAAACAATACCCAAATTATAAAGGTGTGTTCCATTCTCGATCTGTACCTAAAAGAAACAGGAAAGGAATGGGTGGGTTCAATTTCAGTTCCAAACGAGAAAAAGATTCGAAGAAATATGGCCATGGGTTTGAAATGCGTTGTCATCGTCGAACAATCTAGGGTTTGTCATCACCTGAATCACTATCGATTGCACCACCTCGTACCTCAAATCTAAGATGGTTGCCGCCTAAGTTTTCGAGCAACTGCCTGTTTCATGACAAATTACTTTGGGGGTCTCAGATTGAACACCACCACCACCTGTAATCTCTGTTTCCGTCATGTGTCCCCACCGTAATTGGAGATCGACCGACGGTTTCAGGAGGTTGTACATGGTGTGTGTGACCGGTGTTTGTTAGACCGGTTTTAAGTCAACTCAGGAAGAGAATCGACGGTGAAGCAGAGGTGCTACGGTGAGTCCGGAACGAGAATGGGGTGGAGGTTGAAAAGTCACCGATGAATCGCCAGAGGGTATTGATCGGAGGTGGGGAATTTTCTTCTAATTATTGAGAACGAGACATTGGGGAAAGGGAAGGGGAGGGTGGTTAGGTGGAGAAATTTATTTATTTATTTATTTTAAAGTTTAAAAATGATTAAAGAATAAAAGAAAACTAAAAAGAAAATATTAAGGGCAAAATAGACTTTTTATGTCAAGAGGGATGAAGTGTGCAACTTTTAAATAAATAAGGGACGGTCCGAGTTAATTTTTGAAAATAGGGACTGAACATGTTTTTGGGCACCCGCACCAGGGACGAACAGTGTAATTTACCCTTTTTTTTTTCCCAACCCACAACACACGGAAACTGTATCTTTTTAAACTCACTCAACCCATTCAATTAAAAAAAATACAAAACAATCAAAGGTAAAATCTTAATTAGCAATAGAGTTACCGGCGGTACCACTCCCGCTTCAACGATTTGGTTAATTGGTTTCACTAACCCACTTCATCATCTCTCTACTTTCTCTCTCTCATTTTCTTTTGTATCATGTGTATTAAAATTTGTACCTTAGTTGTTTTGTATTGTTTTTTAATTGAGTGAGTTGGATGAGTTGAGAAAGATAGGGATTTTCATGTGTTGTGGGTTGGGAAAGATGAAGAAAAAAAAGAGACAAAAATTGATGTGACAGTGGGTTCAGTGGGTTGGGAGGAAACGATTCCCTCCTCCCTTATAACAAAAGCTATTTATGGACAAATGTTCTATTGAATGGATCGGTTTGATACAATCCGATCAAATGAATTCAATTTGATTTCGTTTTTCAAAATATGAATCTAAATAATTTAAACTAAATTCAAATATGATATGATTCAACCAAATTATAATTCGGTTAAAAAGGTTTTTACAATTCTGTTTTCAATAGGCAAGCCATTTTAATAAATATATAACATGGATATTAGTCAACTCTATAAACGAAACTAAACAAAAAAAAGTTAATTTTCTGTGAATTAAAATATATAAACAACTATCAAGAAAAATATGTTATTGATAGTTTTTTTGATAAGAAATACATATTAAGATATTATATTAGATGAAAGTATCTACTCTATTAAAAATATAATATAGTAAATTTATAAATTATTAAAAATATATATTCAAATAAAGAATATAAATAAATAAATAAATAATCGTGACTCGGTTTTTATTTTATAAACCAAAACTAATCTGAAATCCAAAATAATAATTCGGTTTTGGTGAAAATCATTCTATAAATCTGAATGTCCGAACCAAATAGTTCGATCTAAATTGTCAAATTGAACAATTCAGTTGTATTCAAATAGTGAACAACCTTACATATCATATTTCAAATTTAGAGGTCAATAAGTTATTCGGTGAAATATATTAAAAGCATTAAAAGCACCAAACTTTGAATATTCATAACTTTTGCATATGAATTTCGTTTAAGCTGATTTATTTCAGTGTGTTCTTTGTAAAAAATACAATCAATGGACATATCACACTTGGTATTCAGAGATCTGGAAGTCATACTTGTTTGGGTCCAAAGTATGGCACTTGTTGATCTTTGAAGTTTTTCAAATATCACAATCATCATTAATTGACACTTTGACTACGAGTTCATATACTTTAACCATAACATCCTGGCATTTATTATGAATTGTTATTTCAGTAGGAGACTGTTAAATGTTTTATCTGAGTTTTTAGATTTTGTTAAGATACACCAAATACATAACTTACAACTATCATCAAACCCCTGTATATAACAAAATCATAACAATTTCATACCATTAGATCACACATTATTTGTAGGCTGCTTTTTCGCATAATGGTAAGCAATTTTCATATGTATCTGCAGAAAAGGTCGTATGTTTAATTTTATTTGATTGAACCATAGCATTGTCTTAAAATATATGTTTTTATTTCAGAATTCAAGATCTAGTGCTTCAGTATGAGAAACAATAGAAAATAACATGAATCGCCTTTATGTTAGGCAACAAGCTCTTGTTGATAGCATAGTGTTACGATTATTCATGAGTAACGTCGTGTGGAAGAGAAATTGTTAGATTTGGGGATCTCGTTACCGCTTCCAGAAACCAATGAGCGTAGAAAGTTAGCATTAAATAATATGTAAATGCTCGTAATTAAAATGGATGAAGATATACAAAAGTTTATCAACTCAATTGAAAGCACCGTACAAACATGTGGGCCGATTGTCGAGCGTTCAAAGCGTTTTCATGTGTTTGAAACAATTGAAGCCTACATGGAAGTGTTTCATTCTCCCAAAGCTACTTCTCGGTTCCACTTCATGCAAGTCGGAAGTACATATGTGCATCTCATATAAAGATAATGTAAATTGATATTTAAACGATAATATGTAGAGTTTGTGTTTTTTTCAATGTTTTTTCTTGTGTGTATGTTGTTTTAATTTAAATAAAAGTAGATATGCTATAACATTAAACTTAAGTTCATTAATAAATTAAAGTTCTCATAAATGACAAATCCAAACATAAATCATTCACTAAACTATCAAACCATAAGTTGTGTTCTCCACTAGTTATGTATATATATTATAAACCCAAATGTGTATTATACATAGTCAAAGTGTTGTTATCATTATCTCGTATTTATCTCCTCCAAAAGCTGTAGATACATATTATAAATATCAATGTACATCTCTATGTAAAACAATAAAATGAATACAAGTCTTTATTCTTCTTATTTTATTATTGTTCTCTATTCATCTTATTTTATTCTTGTTCTCTTATCTTTATATGGTATCAAAGCTTGGCTCTACACACACCACACCAAGAAACTTGCCTCCTTCTTCACTAAAAGGAATCCTAATGACTTGTGACTCAATCTCCTCTCTGATTATGAGTGTTTTTTCAAAGGACAATCTCTTTATCACCAACTTCCCATCCACACTGAAACTCACATCCACAAACTACTTGGGATGGAAGACACAAATAAAAGTCCTCCTCCATAGCCTTGATCTTTATCGATTTATTGATGGAACTTGTCCACCACCGGCACCAATCATTGCAGCAGATGGTTCAATAACCCCCCATGCAGACTACCACAAATGGTTTCGGCAAGATCGACTTCTATTTGTAGCCCTTGTTGGAAGCATGTCTCCACAAATTGTCCCACTTGTAACAA